CGATTCCCAGCTGATCATATTCTCTGGAAACCAATGAAATAATTTCGAGGGAAAGCTGGGCTGACTGATTACAAACACGTATTCTGTAGTCAGCCCTGATTGGTCAGGAAGTGTGGCGCATTGTTTTTAAAGAGGTAATAAGAAATTCCTTTTAATCTCTGAGTCCGTGTGAATTACATGCTTGGGTGATTCGTAGGAAGTATTTTTAAAAGGTCAGAAATAAAGTGACAATAATTCTGTTGTAAGAAGATAATTACTTTTATCAGAGCTTCGGTTTGTTGGCTCGCAAGTTGAAATTTTCGGAAATGTAATTTTGATCAATAGTTACCTTCTTAGTAGCTTATCAAATGGCATTCCTCTGCTGTGCCGCATTCAAATTTTCTACTTTGGGTCTCGGTCACCTGATCACTAAAACCAGCTGTTTCCCGCCGATTTAGTGGTCTTTCGGAACTGGTAGTCGTTCGCTTGTTTGGCTTGAATTGCAGCAAAGCTTTCCGCTTTCCGCAATCCTCGGCTACAGCAAAAGAGATAAGGATATCATCTAAATTGTTTGCTTTTTGGAGGTCAATGCGATGTCATTTTATGAGCGAACGGCAGAGAAACGTAAATCTTACGAGGCGGACGAGCTGTGTGAAGATGACGATGGCAGGTAAAAATATTGGAAATGCAGCCGGTGTATTTCATGATCTGTGCGTTTTATCTGCACTTTGAAACACTCATGCAATTTCATCTTGCACCGTTCTCGTCTTTATTTGTTGCAGATTTAAAGTTGAAGTGGTGGATAATCGAGAACGGGAGCGAAAATTGCGGCGGGAAATTGCCAACTCGAACGAACGACGACGTATGCAAAGTATTAACTCTGGTTTCCAAGCACTGAGATTGCTGATTCCACACAGCGAAGGCGAAAAACTAAGCAAGGTATTTCCTGTTACTCTTATGTTGCATTCAGTTAAGTTACTGAGCACAACTGGTCTGAATTTCCTGCTTGATGATTGTAGTCTTATTCCTGACTTATTTTCCTTACTGATTTCCTGAACAGGCCGCGATACTTCAGCAAACAGCTGAGCATATTTTTGCTTTGGAACAAGACAAGACTCGTCTTTTGCAACAGAACACGACTCTCAAGCGAATATTGAGCCAGTACGATCGAGAGGGAATGAACAACTCGGATCTAAAGCGATCTCCGCCGAAAAAGTCGAAAATTGATAAAGAAGCACGTGCACAGGAACTTGACAAGGACGATGAAAACAACAACGTTTTACCAAGTGATGACTACATCGAGGAAATACAAAAGGAGCTCATTGAACTAAGGTGCCAACTAGAACGTGAAAGGAGACTAAGAATCAGCGTGGAGGAGAAGAAGAGACAGCTCGAATTAGATCTAGTGGATGTCAGGTTGAAATCAAACGACAAATCGCCGAAATCAGTGACGACTTCTCATCAAAATTTGGATACGATCGTGCAGGCAATCAAACATTTAGAAGGGGATAAACCCGAACTGCTCGAAACCCCTACAAAATGCAAAACTGAAGCTGTCACGAACGGCCCATCCAGTACGGAAAACGCTTCGAGAAGGCTCATAGTTTGAAATGTTGTTTGAAAGTTTACTCGGATGTTGAACTGCCCTGGAACAGCTGATTGGCGTGGCTGTGGTTGATGTATGCAAATTTCTCATGTTTGCGAAATCCATGGAATTCATGCATGGTATTTGTGTATGTAGAGATTTGTAGAATCATGCATAAATTAAGTTTCTTATCTTTGCCCGTTTTCATCCACTTTGTAAGTGGTCTTGTAAAGTTTTTCTTGAGATTCGGTCGGGAGCTCAAAGCGTGCTGGATTCACGAGTTCTCCGGAACGGCAGAATTGTACAGCATGCAGAGTTTAATGCGATGCTGATCATATTTTGCAAGTTTGGTAGGTGACGTCTACGTGTGAATATGTACATATTTCCTGTAGGTCTCCCGTGGGCTACCTTTATTTTGGTGAGGGAGGGGATTTCATCCTCCTTGTAGAATCCTTGTATAAAGTGAGACAACGAATTGAATGTTTGTGAGAACTGCATTAGCACCAGGTTTCACCTCAGTCCTGGGACATTTAAGTGATTAACTTATTGGAGAATCATCCAACTGAAATTTTATGGTAATGGCTTCAAACAAGAAAAGTTCCAAAGGAAAAAAATTAATCATGGAAAAGCCACAAAGTGTTATCATTCAAGAAAAGTGGGGAAATTGGAAGTATGAAACATCTGTTGGTTATTTGTTTTGATGATGAGGGAAAATGATTGATTCATCGATTTGTTTCTCAATTTGATTAAAATCACAAGCATTTATAGAGACGAGTGAGCAATTAAGGAGTGCAGTATTGAGATTGATATACTGCTAGTCTTGGTCAAGCAGTAGTGTATCAGTCAGGGCTCAACAACAACGGTAATCCACTAGCCACACACTAGTAGAAATTAAGTTTTGGCATGTGGTTTTCAATTTTCACTAGTCAGTTAGGCCAGTAAAGAAACTGAAATTGTCGCAACATCTACGATGTCACTAGCCTCTTGGCTAGTAAGTTGAAAAGTCAGTGTCGAGCCCTGTCAGTCAAACCTCACCATCTTCAACTGATAACCGATAACCCTAAATCAGGAGATGTACAGTTAAGTGTTAATTTAACATTGAGAATGTTGGCCCAATACTTTGCCAGTGTGATATCAAAGCTATGGTCTAGCAGCACCCGGTGACCCCTGGCACCTAACTTTTGCTCTTGGGCGACTCAGGAATTTTAGTTTTTTCATAAAAAGCATATGCTGGACACCCTGGATTTCACAGTTTCAGAGCACAGGGTCCCATTCAATTTTCCTTAGAGCACAGCCTTGGATATAATATGTGTGGGAGTGTCTAAACAGTGTTCAGTAATTTTCCTGGGCTATGCAAACACTAGGATTATGATCATAAATGACTCTTGCCCTTTCAAGTGAAAGTTAGAGGGCAAAAAAGAATCAAAAGTTGCCGAAATTGTGGATTCTATACTAGTTCCTTCCAATATTGGTTAAAATTAACTCCTTAACTCTCTGACATCCATGAGTGATCAAGACAGAATTTCTCCTTACAATATATGTCAAGCAGACAAGTGATGGTAAACATAAATTGGACCGATTACTAGTTGATTGAAGACCAAATTCTCAAAACTAACATCAAGAATTGTATGGCAGACATTAAGGAGAGTTACTAATGTGATCTTGGTAGTGAAAGGTGAAGGCCATCTCAGCAAATGTTACTTTCATTTTCTACAGGGTACTGAGTGAATTTCACAATGTATTAAATACAAATTGAAGTTTTGTCTTTTCAACAAATTTATGAATATTTTTTTCTGACTGGAATTTTTTTTAATAACTACATTATTTGAGCACTGATAACAAACTAAAGAGCAAGGAATTATTTGGAATCAGCTTTGTCAACTTTAAAGTGCACCTAAACCCAAAAATTTTTTTTCGCTTAACGAAATAAGCTTATTTTTTGGAGTATTTCTGTGCAAAAATTTTTTAATTTGCTTAAATCTTAAATTTTCTGTGCCTAGTCAAAATACGGAAAATTGGCCGCCATCTTGCCCCACGACCGAGTTTAAAGAGGAATGGCTCTAGCGGATAATGTGACGTCAAATCGAGAACACGAAAGTCTGCTTTTCACACATTTTCACTTGTTTGGGAAGGTTGTGGTCGATATTGTCCGAAATATGCCGACCAGGTGTGTTGTATGAGGAATGTATGAAGCGTGATACCCTCTTGCAAATTTCGCACGTTGCTACATCCTCCTACNGTGAAAATGTGTGAAAAGCAGACTTTCGTGTTCTCGATTTGACGTCACATTACCCGCTAGAGCCATTCCTCTTTAAACTCGGCCATGGGGCAAGATGGCGGCCGATTTTCCGTATTTTGACTGGGCACAGACAATTGAAGATTTGAGCAAATAAAAAAATGTTTGCACAGAAATACTCCAAAAAATATGCTTATCGCGTTAAGCGAAAAAAAATTTTTGGGTTTAGGTGCACTTTAAGGTTTTTATTATTCTTATTTTGCTTTAGTATTACAAAGTAGGATTTGTCGATACCACTTCACTGAGATGACATTTTTTGAATAGTGTCCATTTTTTTCCTTTTTTTATTTTTACATTTTGATTCCACTACAGTTAATTTGTAGATTATTTTACTGCTGGCAGTATCATATTGTAGAATTGGGCCAGTAATACAATTGACATATTCTATTATGTATAAGGCTATTCAGACAATTCTTTTTCTATGAAAAGATGGCCTCTCTGATTCAGTATTTATATGTTACTCCCACTGCATGGATTAAGCACTGATCCAGTGTGTATATTGCATAGGAATTTTTAAGTAATCTCTTTGGAAGGATGTCTTTTAGTTGTGAAAATGCTTAATTTTCACTTATCAATTAAGATAAGGTTCAAAAGTCGTAAGTCAGACTTAGGGGGCTTGTAAGACACCCATATGCACGGTTCGTACGCATCTTGAAAACCCTTGAAAACCCTTGAATTTCAGGAGGCTGATTTCAAGGCCTTGAAAGTACTTAAATTTCGTTTTGGGTCCTTGAAAGTCCTTGATTTTTTAGTGAACAACATCGAAAAATATCTGCTTTTGTTTTGCGCCATCTGTAAACCCAAAACCTAGATGTTAACAGAAACATTTTTTCTTGGTTTTGAGGTAAAATTGTCATTACAAAAAGTCCTTGAAATGTTCTAAGTAGGGTCCTGGAAAGTCCTTGAATCTTTGGCCTGAAAAAGTGTATGAACCCTGCTAATGGTGACTGATTCCCTTCCATCAAGCTATGAACCCTTTACACTCTAACACCAGGGTCTACATTCTCCATACTTTTCTTTATACATTTCCTGTGGTACTGATAAGGAGACTTCATTTATTGATGAAAGCTTCTTAGGGTAGAGATCATTTCCTTTGTTCTCATTACAGGATTCGTACAGGTCCTGGAAAACCTGGGAAGTTATAGACCACTTTCATAAATGGCTGCCGGATTAATATTCTTTTGTTTAAATTTAAATTAGCCCTTTTGGCCTCGTTCTCCAGTACAAAATTCAAAAGAATACATTATCTCAAGCGAGGCCAGAAGGGCTAATTTAAACAAAAGAATATCAATCCAGCAGCCATTTATGAAAGTGGTGTATGGAATTTTATTTTGACATTTTCCAGGATTGGAAAGTCCTGGAAAAAGACTACAGGTTCAGGGTAGTCCTGGAAATTTGCTTAAATCAAGCAGTGAAGTTTTCAGAATTCATGTTGTAAGAAATGTGTATAGACTGTAATTTTGAAATCTTGATAATGAAATGGCTAAATGTGAAATTTTGAGTCCTGGAAAAATCAATATGAGCCTGGAAAAGTTGTGGATAATTAGAAATTTGTTTCTGTAAAAAGGTATGAACCCTGTCATTATCTTAATGAATGATTCAATCGTATTACTGAAAAGAGAAATCAGATGCTTGTCACTCTTTGGGTTTGAGGGGTGAAATGCTCATTGCATAGGTAGAAGAATTGTAGCTATTAAAATACTCCATTTCCCAAATGCTCAGAAACAGATTAGTGATTTTCAATAACTTTGTATATTGCATTGGGACAAGTACATATTGCAAATATTTTGTAAACAGCTGAATATTTATATAATCTTACAATCATAAAGTGTTTTTGCCTGGTAGCCTGTATGTGAAATGGAATGCATAAGGATGAGAACATTGGTGTGCTTTTGTAATTGTAGAGAATGACGGACAAGGTCCTCTTGCAATTAACTTTTATATAGTGTTTTTCATCTGCAAACATTCATAGTTATTGTAATTACCAAGTATCTTAAGGGCGCTGAGAGAATCGTTTTTGATATTTATGTGTCACATGCCCTTACAAAAAAATGTATTAAATACATGAAGAGGTGTTTTGCACATGTGTCTAGTTTCTTATCATAAATGCACAATGGGATGCTATTGCATTATTGAGAGCACCCCTCCATCCACCACTGTTAGTATATAGTTAGTTCACCTGATAGTTCACTGGTACTCTTTCAAACTTCACAGGAAATTTGAAGTGGCTGTAAGACCCTTTGGAAAATGATAATAAAAATCAGATAATTTGATAGGGTAATATTTTTAATGTCATCTATGGATAAGTGCATTTGGTACATTTTGAGCACTTTTTGCTAAAAGCTAAGAGTGGAGGTTCCCCTTAAGAATGGAAGGGTAAAATTCAAATGTTGCATGCATATACTGGTATAAAACTGCATTGCTAGGTATTTTGAAGGTCATTTTGATCCCAGTGATTTCAATTGAGTGCTCTTGGCTGTTTGTTTCTAAAGTCTTAAGTTTAAATGCAATAAGGAGGGGGGCATTGGGGCCTCTGGGAAACCACAGAACCGGAGGAAAAAATCTCCAAAACTGAAAAACCGACGAAAAAAGGCAGCAAAACCGAAAACGGCA